CAAGAAGAGCTCATCCCAAATTGACAGAGTGCGAGAGAGCCTCATTGGCACATGTCGATCCCGATGTCAATCTCGGAGAAGAAGAATTCTATTTCCATCATCGAGGAGAATGTCCCACAGGCAGGCACAACCAGGATCCGGCTATCCGATTAAGCTTCCACTTGGATTGAAGAAGCTTAGGTCGCATGATGACCCGGAAATCATAGCATATGCCGATATCCTGGGATCGTTGATGCAGCCGACCGATCGACCTCCTGTGGACTATCTCAAGACGCATGAGTTCACCTCTTCCATAGCGATCAACATGCTTACCTTGAACCACGGAAACCTCACGAGGAATCCAAAGCTGGACCATAGGGAGGTGTACAACATGCCGATGAAGGATCGACCAATCGTGAAGATGATGATGCAAAACAGTGCACACATCTTATGCCTGAATGAAGCAGACGCATTCTTCAGTCCTAATGATGAGAAATCCAGGGAACTCATCAAGACGTTCATCCGGATACAAAGGCATCGTGATCAAGCAATGGTCATCCAGACCAATCGCATGCTTTGTCCGCGGCGGACCTTCTGCAAGAGTGGAACTACTGGCAAGACATATTTCCACCAAGAATCAGAATTGGGGAACCACATTCGGAATGTTCAGATGTTTCTTCGGCACCGAGGGAAGTTGCACTGATCCTGAATACGAAATTCTGACCTCGGATTGCTTGGCAACTACGGGACCATCCATGTTTACTCAATCCAAGAAGTACATTGGACCGAGATTGCCAGCACGCACCATTGTCCAAGGACATGGCCGAGACAAGGAGATTGTCGTTCTCCATATTGAGCAGAGTGATGAGTTTCGTGGCATGATCCCGAAATCATCCAACAAGTCACTCCTCGAGTACGTAACGAGGGCAGACCTCCCGTTTGCTACCATTGGAGTTTTCCACATTCATCCATCAATTAGCCATGGAGCAGCACGGGAAGATCTTCAGAATGAAATCATGCCGCTCGTGACTTTGTACCGATGCGATGCGATCACCGGAGACGCCAATAAATCAGCGAATACCTACAGCAAGCTCCAGCACGTCTTCAATCCGGCCAACGGTCTCGTGAACATCCTCATGAAGGCATATCAGAGACTGCGGAATGAAACGGAGAATTTGCCACTCGTGGACAGAATGGAGTATGCTCCCACGCCTCGGCGCCGCAGAAGTGCTCGAAGGGCATGGGCAGCTTGCGCAGGAGGCAGTCCCACGCCTGCTCCAGATCGCAGTGGGCGATGGAGACTTCGTGCACCCTAAAATCCATTGTCCGTCATCACCTGTACATGAAGTGTGGATCAGGATACGATCGAACATTCCCAGATGTGATGATGACTTTCGTGTTTGGATGGGGCAAAACGAATATCCAGCAGGTTTTCCGGAATGAAGAGATGAACGCCATGGATGATGAACAACTGGAAGCCATGCGGAACAATCCAGCAAGGGCCATATTCGATTACCAGGTCTCATCCGCAGAGCGCTTTAAGCACGTGAACAATGACATGTTCATGAATGGCTCACAGGACTCCGACTCGCACAGTCCCCTCATGGTTTACATCCGCAGCAAATCTGCAACCAGGCAACGCAACTTTGAGAGATCCAAGGAGTACCTCAAGAAGAAACAGGCCATGGCGCCTCGACCTGGAATGATTATGGAGACTATGGCAGTCAATCCGACAGCAGCCGTCGATGGTATCATCGATCCGACTGACCAGGAAGATTCATACGTTCAGCACTACGAACTCAAATCAGATGATTGATCCTCACCGCCTACAAGACTATCCAGTGAGAGATCAATAGTTTCATTCGTCCCGCGTGTACATAGTGTTGCGCATCACCTTTTGACACATCTAGGTATCTCAAAGAAGCAGCACATAGTGTTTTCCCATTTCGCAAGTCAAGACATTCATCCGAGCAGAAAAGAGGATGAATCCGGCATTTTTAATACACATGGCTACGGCATACAGCATGGCTACGGCATACAGCAAGGCTACGGCCAAAGGCCATGAAGCCAATAGTATTTCATATCTAGTGCTGGAGATCAAAAGAAATTTGTGTTTGTTTTGTGTTTGGTTTGTTACACAATCGATCTCCTGCAACCTTTTGGCTCAAGGCCCTTTCTGTATCATAGCAATACTCCTGATTGCGTGACAAAGGAACCTTTGCAGGCCGCTTACAGGATTATCCACAATATAATCCACCAGGGACAATCCATCCTCCAATCATCCATAGTGGCATATTGGATTCTCTCCGGAATAGATCCAGGGACCTAAGCAACGACCTCTACTACCACAGAATACCAGTTCCCTTCTGGGATAGGCACCTGGGCACCCCCCCCCCCCCCCGGCTACTTTTTAGATTTGTGGCCCCCATTTGAATCATCACTTTTTCGATCGTCATGCGGCAGCCCCCCCCCCCCCCAACTTCCCCGCCACTTTAAGATGTTTTGCAAATTGAATCATCACTTTCTGGATCATCATGGGCGGCAGCCCCCCAACCCCCCCGCTATTTTTAGATGTTTGGCCACAATTTGAATGATCACTTTTTCGATCATCGTGGGGGGGGCTGCCGCCCCCCCCCAACCCCCCCGCTACTGTTTAGTTTTTTTGCCCCCTCGCTGGTTTTTAGATTTCTTGCCCCTAATTGAATCATCAGTTTTTCGATCATCATGGGGGGGGCTGCCGCCCCCCCCAACCCCCCCGCTGCTGATCCAGAAAGTGATGATTCAATTCGGGGCAAAAAATCGAAAAGTGCGGGGGAAGTTGGGCGGGGGGCTGCCGCATGACGATCTAAAAAGTGATGCTTCTGACGGGAAAAAATGCTCACGGCCACAAAGTGGGACCAAAAATATGGAAGCCTTTAGAAAACCGTGGAAAGCCAGTGGAAAATACAGGAAAACCTGCATTTTCGACTCAAAAACATCGTGTTTTTTCAGCCCGTGGAAAAACCGTGGAAAGTCTATGGGTTCTTCGGGACCTGGTGCGCGGCCACTGTTGGACCCGAGCTGGATAGCCAATTCGTGAAATTCAGTCAGCACTTCTGGCCAATCTCATACCGAGCTGGCACTTAGAGCTGGCACTTTGTTGCCCGTGCCAGGAAGATGGTTGGTGAGCCTACGAATTCATCGCGTCCCAGTTGGAGACACGGATGGGTTCACTCCGTGTACCTTCCGGTTTCTGTCTGCACCAGGCAGGTAGATAGCACCCTCTTATTTTTCACCTACTCTTAAGATGCCAATCCCAGTGTAGGGGGCCAGTATGATCACCCAAAACTCAAGCCTTGCATGTTCCATGTTTCATGCTGCTGTAGATTGTTGGAGGATTGGCCATGACTTGCAATGCTGACCATTTTGTGCTGATGAGACGACCCCGACGTGCCGCGACCCCGAAATACGGCGGCGAGGGTGTGAGGGAGGGTCAACCATGCATGTATGACTGAGATGAATGAACCCCTGGGCACGCTTGTGCCAGCTTGCATAAAGGGCAAATAGGCCTAATGCACACTTGAAACTGAACTTTGTGGCAACCCTCCCCTTCCAAGCGCAAATGGGTTTATTTTTTTGAGATGGGATGGACAGACTGGATGGGAGCGTGTTTTTGATGGACCTCCGTTTGTTGGTTGATTTTAAAGGGAAACTAGTGGTTGGGGTCAGTGTTGGTGTCTTGTTTGCTTGTCTTGGTGTCTGGTTAGTTGGGGTTCTGGAGTCTGGCGGCCACCTTCCATCCTTTAAGGGGAAGTTTTAGTTTTTTGCCCCCTCGCTGGTTTTCTAGATTTCTTGCCCCTAGTTGAATCATCAGTTTCTCGATCATCATGGGGGGGGGGCTGCCGCCCCCCCCAACTCCCCGCCCCGCTACTTTTTAAATTGTTCACCCCTAATTGAACATTCACTTGTTCGATCACCATGAGAGGGCTGCCGCCCCCCCCCCCCCAACCCCCCCGCTACTTCTCAGATTTTTTGCCCCAGTTGAAACAGTATTTTCTTGATCATCATGGTGGGGGGCTGCCACCCCTCCCCCCCAACCCCCCCCACCCCCGCTACTTTTAAGATTTGTGGCCCCCAATTGAATCATCACAATCCTCACTCCCCCGACCACCACTGGGCGGGCTGCCGCCCCCCCCCCCCCAAACCCTCCGCTACTTGTTGGACTTTTGGCAGAGATTCAAATGCAACCCTAGTTGAATCACCACGTTTTCGCACGTCATGGGGGGGCCTGTTTTTACCATCATGAGAGGGACCCCCTCGCTGCTTTTTAACATACATACATAAATACCTACCTACCTTCCCGGAGAGGAACTGATGATGCTGAGGATGTAGGAATTCGATTTGCTGGGGATGTTGGCTGGACATGCGGGGATGTTGAAAACGATGCTGATGATGTTGACGGGCTAGTGTAAAACACGTACACTTCGTGAGAAAATGCTTTAAAATACAGTATTTGCTAGCCAGGCCGGAAAACAAAAAAAAGTCCCAAAAATAAAACACAAAAACAAATTAAATCTCGACCCTTTTTGTTTGTCTGTTCTTCTTTGTCTCTCCTGCTCTATCTCTCCTACCCTGCTGTTCTATTTCCCCCGAACATGAGGAAACCCCGGCCTATACGTCTTTGTCGTGTAAACGCCCAGACCATCGCAAAAGAGTAACCCCGCAGCTACAGCACGTGTGATGAGACCGTGTCCGCACTGCGTGTTCCTCTTGATACACACGTTTCTCACTAAATGCAGCCCTGAGTGCATTAAGTTTTTTCTTGATGGCTAAACAAGTTTTTTTTGATTGTTAAAAAAGTTTTTTTGATATCCTTCCCCACGCTCGTGGTGACCAAGACGCGTGCATCCAGATCATTTCAAGTTGTGGCACCCTGTTGGCTTCTTTTCGGAACCAAACAAAGGCGCAAACATGTGCGATATTGAGCACCTGACCACCAACCACCCAACATGAGATCCAAAAGAAACAAATGCCCCCGAAGCCTGTGGAGGCAGCTGGAAGGCTGGAAGAGGAGGTCCCGCTGCAAGTGGAAAATCTGCTGACAAAGCCTGGCGCGCGAATCCGGCTCGGAAGTCCTAGGCTTCAAACCACTCACGTGGAAACCCTCTGGTTGACTCCTGAAGAAGGAATTCTCGGTTGCTTTCTGCTCCCCTGCTAAAAGTTTTAACTTTTAGAGGTTTGATGGAAACCCATTGGCTGACTGAAAGTTAAAGTCCTAACGTCCAAGCAAAGTGCACCAAAGAATTCTTAGGGTCTGACTTTGGAAACCGGAGGTCCACTGAGGAAGGGCTCAAGGGGGTGGGGAGTTTCGGATTCCAAACTTATCGAAATGAGAAATGGCTTCCTGCAACAACATCAGAACATGGGGTCGAAATTGTCCCTGCCCGAATTCGGTTTTGGGCGGGGGGGGGGGGGGGGGAATGGAGAAAAGGCGGTTCCTGAGGGGTGGCCTGGTGTGTGCTGGCTGTTATGGTTTTATGTTTGTTCTCAATCCGTGTTCTCCCTCATTCGCTTTGAAAAGGGGTGTGTTGGGGAGCTTCTATGTCGTTTTGCTAGAGGTAATCAATTGGCGTTTGTTTCGCCTTGTTCATTGTTGGGCTGGGGGCTGACGGTTTGTTCATTTGAAAGAGTTAGCCCTTTTAGTAGTTATTATGTCTGGGGTGTTGGGTGGGTCTTTTGTTTTGAGGTTGTTGTTGTCATTGCAAGCTTGTCATAGGTCAAACATTATAGTGTAATGAAAGGCTATAAACTTGTTTTGCAAAACTTAATCATATGTTGTTGTTTGTTTTTTGTCTGTTTCTCAACACCAATATTAATAAGCAACTAATTGAATGCATGCTAACTCTTCCCAATCAAGTTTGTCATCACAAGCTTTGGATGTCTACTTATCATGTTTCTTTTAACATCACTTGCCATATTTTAAATTGAACATCGTAGCCCATCTTCGCTTTTTTACAGTGTACTGACAATAATAATATTGGCATGCATCAATGTCGTCAACGTGAGTATCATATTCAAATGTTGTTCTCACACACATGTCGACCAACAAGTTATCAGTGTAGTTCATGACGTTTAACCATCTCTCTGATGGGTGTAATACGTATGAAAATGCGTCTAAGGAGAAGGAAACATACGTGGTTCAGATTGAGACTTTACAGTATTCCCAAAAAATGGGTTTGAACATGCCCAAAGTTCATAGGATATAAAACTCCAGCAACGGGCCTGGCTGAACCGTGGATTGAATTTAACACTGGTAAAAGGAAAGAGGCTAAAAGCGATTTGAGAAAGACAGATTCAAATTAATGAATAACGCTGTATACGCCAAAACGATGGATGACAAGCGAAACCATATGGACTTTGAACCGGTTGAAAATGAAGTTAGACATGGAAAGTTTGGATAACCCCACCTTCAAAACCAGGTCTTCTTAGGAATGAGCATTTTAGATTTAAGCAAATTACACCTGAATAAGTTTTACTATGTTGTCTTGAAACAGAAGTATAATTAAAACATCAAATCGATATATACCGGTACTGATAGTTACGGAATCCAAACAATGACTGATGACATTTATACGGATTTTCAACAGATTAAGCAACACATAGATTTTCGCGATTATCCTGAAAAATCACGCGTGCTACGACAAAACTAATAAGAAGGTCACAGAAAAGTTTGAGGACGAAGTAAGAGGAAAAAAAGTACTAAATTCATCGGGTTGAAACCTAAATCATACGCTTTTACAATCTACGGCGAGGATGATGAACATAATAAATCAAAAGGTGTGGTGAAACACAAGGTGAAGAAAGACTTGTCATAACATAACTACCAAGAAGCCCTCTTCCATAACAAGAAGCATGAAATCACATATAACTTCATCAGGAGCAACTACATCAAATCTGTTCAATGTCTCAAGTAAAACAGAGTTTATCAAACTATGAAAATAGCATGTTTTATATTGATGTTTTTGTTTCTCGAACCCATAAGGGCATCTTAAATGAAAATAAGTAACAAAATCAATGCTTCCAATATGATATGAATACACCAATTTTGTGTGACCAGCAATGAGGAAACTTGACACAACGAACACACGATTAAACATGGTGGACATGTTTGTCCGCGCCAGCAGCATCACCGAACGTCTCATCAGGACGTCCGCATCAGTTGTTGCCACATCCAACATCCATCAAGCATACACTACGTCAGATAATGATAGGAAGGACAACGCATCGGCATGATCATGACATGATTGCCTTCAGCCCTAAGCCACTTCACCAAACGAAACGAGAATCCAAAAGCCAAACAAGACCTCACCAAACCAAACAAACCACCTACCCGTGTAGACGATGAAGACTGGAAGTTGTCAGTGTGGAACAGGTAGAAGCCGATGTCTTCCGGGCCTCAGGCGGTGCGACAACAACAGGTGCCAAAACAAACTGAGCGCGTCCCCTACCTGGCAAAGATTTCTCCGTCTCCCCAAATTTGGGGGAGGTGTCTCCCTTTTCTTTGGGAAAAGTCCGCCAGTTTCTCCGACCTTTGGTGAGATATCCCCACTGCCTGCGGGAAGTGCTTGAACTTAGACTGATCTAGCAAGTCTTTTGACCTTCTGTCGGAGCTTCCTCATGCCAACTGCACGATGAAGCATGGCGCTTATTCCGCCGAAGAAGCATCCAACTGCTCTTCAGCTAGTTGGAGCACATTGCAACTAGATGGATGCATTGCTTGAGTCGCACAGCATTGACCCAAACATGTTCTGTGACCCACAGTCGAGAAGCCTCGCCAAAGCCTTGTTTCGGCTGCAAAAGGGTTTCACCCAGCCAGGAACCAGCTCCTCCCCTGAGAGTTGCATCTGGCCTTTGAACTTGAGGCCTATATGCTCCAGCTTCGACCGGGCCGAATTCTCCACCTCTACAGCTTTCGCCAGGACTTGATAGTAGTCTTTGCAAAGCCACCCAAGTTTCGTCAGCACCTGAAGCCACTCAGAGCCGGTCTCCAGTGGGTTGGGGACCAAGTGACACAAGCAACCAGCTTTGGGCCAAGGTGTAGCCCAAACTCCACAGCAACACTCTGTCCTTGAGCACGTGCTACACTCTTCGCAGTGCCACCGACGAATACGGGTGCAAAGACGTCCTCTCAATGTGAGATGCACTCGACCTCCCCTCCCCGTCTCAATTTCTTGGATGAATGGCCATGCCTCAGTAACAGTCAACACTCCCCAAATGCTGTGGATGACATTTTGCTGGATTATAGTTTGTTGCCACTTCCAGTGTTCATAATTGGTCCATTCCGCAACAGCCAGCAAGCTTTGCCGTAGCTCATCCTCATGCTCCAAGCACGCCGCCACCGCTGGACGTTGCTGGAGGCCGCTAACATCAACCTCCTCTGGCAGCACCAAAGCCTCTGATGCTACGAGGGTATCGAGCTTTTGGAGCTGGCTGCAAGAACTGAGGATACTGCTGAAGACGTCACTGGCACCAACCCACTGCGCACTGCTCAAGGCATCAACTCCTGTGTAGAAGCCGGCAAGGTTGTATGCAAAGGCAGGAATGTCAATACGGCTCTCCAGCAAGAAGCTTGCCAAGCACTCGCTCTGGGAACCATTCGTAACTTTGCAAGAAGCAACCGCATTCAGGTTGGCAGCAGGGAGCATGCTGTGTAGGCTTTGATACGCCCTTGCAAGCTCTGGATCCCGGCAATAGTTTGCATCAGTAGTGGCTGGCTCCCGCAGCATAAGATTGATGGCATCAACACCTGGCAGAGCATGCTTGTCAATGCTTTCCTGAAGCACCCTGAGGACAACTGCCGCTGACTCCTTATCCTGAATGGGGGGGGTGTCCACGACTGTCAAGTTGAACGCGTATGCGTCGTCTTGAAAGAGAGGCAGCGTATAAAATGCTACCTTGGTGGTTCCACCCGTTTTGACACACTCAAAGCGGTAAGGGTCTTCAAAGCGCACGTCAAGGATGTGGTTCACCAGGCCGTTGAGGAAGGTTGTTTTGCCGACTTCCTTTGCTCCAAGCAAAACGATGACCAGCTCTGGTTTGTCATCATCGTACGTGAACTGCTTCAGTCGACATGCCTCGACCTCATGAGGTGCGTGCGTATACTTCAGGTCTAAACGTAGTTTACGTGGCTTGATGCACTTGTCACCTGCAAACTCGCCCTGGTGCACTATGCGGTTTGAGGCCACGCTGAGCTGAAACTGCTTTTCCTTCAGTGGCTCTTGCTTCCGGCCCTGAGGCAAGGCAGCCGGCGCTGGCGTATGGTAAGTGTCTACTTCACGGCGCCTCCGCCGTTGGCAGAGACAGCAGCCCACCTCGCTGTGGATTCGGATAGTGCCCGGTTCAGTGCGGAAGGCATTTGGCAACACGGCAGCAATGGACTGAGCTGCACCGGGCAGCATCTGAGCGAGGAATGCATGTGGCCAAACATGGCCCTGAGCTGCACCTTGCTCAACGTGGACTGCACCCGGCTGAACCGTTGCCTGAGCTGCGCCTCGCTCAACCTGGAATGCACCTGCCTGCACTGGTGCCTCAACACGGATGGCATTTGGTTCAATCGAAGCTCTCATGCGTGCTTCAAGCATGGCCGCGGCATTGACATTGGATGTCGCTCGCACCTCCCTCAAAGTGGGAGCAACGTCAACAACTGGCATGTTTCAGAGTGAGCAGCGGCTGCACACCCCCTGTTTGATTGGAGACTGCGGTCACGCTTCAATCTGGCTCTTCAATCAAGCGCTAGCTTGTTCAAATTCAACACTCTGGCCAAAGGTGTGCTCTGCGTGATCTGACTATGGGCTCTGAGCATTCAAATGCCCGCTGTTGCTGATTTCCTACATGCTTGACATGCCAGGAACTAAACACTAGGCCTCCGGGCAAAAATGTTCATGTAGTTGGCGTCGGCGAAGCAATCGGGGCGAAGCAATCGGGAAAGGCAGAAAGCGTGAGACGCATCCACATGGCGCGCCTCTGATTTGACGCACAGTGAAGGTTCTTGACACAATCTCTCCAACCCAAGAAACAGAAGCCAACCCAAGAAACAGAAGCAACTTAGCAACAAGAGAGGCGAGGAGACAATGAGTAATTAGCACCCAAGCAGCATGACTGGGCGGTAAACAAGCACTCCAGGACGCACACTTCTGAAAGACCCAGTCAAGTTCAAACAGATCAAAATGTCACTCGGTCCAAGAATGAAATAGGCAACTCATTTGAACACCTCATTCCTCCAAACAAACAAGCAAATTCCTCCAAACAAAAAAACATAAAACAGATAAACGATAAGCCCATTCCTCCAAACAAACAGCCCTTGTCAAAAACAAGCAGCCCAGAACATCAAAAGCCCGAACTCTTTCGATATGAAAAAACAACATTTCCCCCAGCCCAACAATGAAACAGGTAAAACCACAAAACAATTGACCACCGGAACGAAAACGTCTAAATATGTCCCCAAAAGCCCTCTTTTCAACATGAACAAGGTAGTCAACAGATTTGAGACGACCATTAAAACCAAAACAGCCGACCCTAAACAGCCCACCCGCTTTCTCCATTTGGCTGTGGGTCAGAAATGTGTGCTCAAAATGGAACCCCGGTATATGGACATAAGGACTAAACCAGCGGTCCAATTGCTAGCGGCTTAATTTTGGCCCATGCCTATTTTGTTTGGGGCGAAAAAATGGCAGTCCCCAGCGACCTTGGCATTCGAAACCGACGGGACAACTGTCAGCTCAGTTTTCGCTGGAGCCACATGGGTGTGGGTCAAAATTAAACCACTAGGAATCGGACCGCAGGTTTGAATGTCCATGCTTCCATTTACCTATTCGGTTCCATGTTCGGTACCTATTCTTGACCACCACATGTGGAATCAATGGGGCCTTCGAAAGGACACAGGGCAACAACCTACGCAACCCTGCGAAAGCGTCGTTTAATCGTTTTGGGGTGCTTAAATGCATGCACGCACAAAAACAAGGCAACCGTGCAGGAAACAAGGCCAATTGTCAAATGAAGGTCCTACATCATGGGCTTTGGATTGGCTTTGGCTCGTGTTGCTTCCGAATTGGGGAGTCCCCATGTTGGCATAGACGCTCTGGTCGTACCTAACCCAGAGGCCATGGGACATGTAAAAAGGAATGTTGTCTCAGGTCGAAAATGGGTACCTGGAATTTTTTGTGACCCTTAAAAATTGGTTGGTCATAACCCAAAATTAAGGGGTCATGGACCAATTGTTTAAAGGGTCATGGAGACTCTAAGTACTGTCACGATAGAAACTGATCTTCCAAATGCCCTCCGGGTGCCATGGCAACGTGGGAAGGCGAGTTGCCTGTTGCCTTCCCCCCTACGCAAAATACCCGTTCTTTCCAGGGCATTTTTGGGAAGACCTGGCTTTCCATGGTAAATACCCGCCTTTTTTAGAGGGTCAACATGATACCCTGAACAAGAATTGCCCGGGTCTTTGGAGTAAGGGGTCCCTTCCCCGAGGGATCCGAAAAGACGTGCCGGGCGCCGCTGGAAGGGCAGCGCGCCCCTCATGGAGGCGGAGTACAAGGCGGCCTCGCCGATTGATCTCAGGTCCACGTCTAGTCACCAAAGCATTACCCTAGGCTTCCAAAGGCCGTTAAAAGAATGGTCGAGGTTGCTAGACTGTTTTTTGCCGAAAGACCGTTTTTTGCGCCTGGCCCTGAATATCCAAAAAAAAGGTTTCTGTTGCCCAAGAATTGCTTAGGGTCAGGTCACTGAAAGTCACGCCGCCCTCACCCTCCCACCTGCAAATGACTGCACCCAAGCCACTCATTCCCCGGCTTGCCAAATGTATGGTCGCATCACTGTTCAAAATCGCCAGGTGTCCCGCCTACTGTAGAGGCGTGCATAGATTCTTCGCATGTTGGTACTGAGGTCCGGCTTTTTTGAAAAATGCTGCAAACTTAGTGGCTTCGGGGCATCGCTGCCGCTCAAACATGCGTTGTTGGCTCCTGGGGGTATGGTTGTCCACGCTTTTAAACGTACTTTCCACGCTTTTAAATGTACTTTCCACGCTAAAAAACGTACTTTCCACGGTTTGTCCATGGTTTGTCCACGCCTAATTTTCTTTCGAAAACGATTAAACAATCAACAAACAACACGCGATCAGACTCTGTGGAGCTGTGGACAAGAAGTGGAATTCACGCACGGGCATGTGAGGGACAAGCCAAATTGACACAGCATGGTGACGGCGTGTGATTACAACGGGATGAAGCGACTGTAAAACATACTTAGCTTATTTCATAAAATGCAGCAATAAAGTTCTTCAACCTCTCACTGCACAGAAGCGCGTGGGGATGTCAGGAGCCAGCCGTCTCGAGTTGGCCAAGTTTGTCTAGACCTACTTTTAATGGTCGAGGGACATTACTTTTATAGCCTTTCGTTTTTTACATGGTCGAGGCTATTTAAAGAATAGTCGAGGAAGCACAGGGATTAGTTACCACTCGAATCCCAACAACGATAAACAAACAAACAAACTAACAAAAAACAAACAAAAACTAACAAACAAATACCAAAGAAACGTTCAGTCATAGTTTGTTGTTATTGTTGGTGATTTTTCTCAGTGTCCATCTTTATTGTAGGTAACCCTTGGCGATGTTCCTTTTCGTATTTGAACGGTGTATTAGTTGCCTACACCGGGAGACAGGGAATCACTGGGACTGAGAACGAAGCCCCTGGACATGGGGCCAGTTGCACAGTGATCACGGTAGAAGAAAGGAACCCTTTTGTGCGGTTGCCCATTCTTTAGTGGAGAAGCCACCGAACAAAAAGGCAGAACCAATTGGTGTCACTGATCAACTGCCCCCTCTTTCCACAAAAAGACTCAACAAGAAAAGTTAAGGCGACCTCAGCAGATTCTCTATCCCGTGTATGTTCAACTTAGCAAACTTACCGAGATTTACACGAAATGTGGCTGTGCACCTCATATTCCGTGTCTTGACTCCACCAATCGAATCCCGTGTAGACTCGAGATATGCGACACCCCGCCCCGTTTCGCTAGGGGGATCAATATTGTTGTCCCAGAAAGTTGGAGTTGCAACAACCTGGTGGCCTACTTGGCTTTCTCACTACCAATACTTGCGACATCGAAGGAACCACATCCTGCCAGACAACAACAAATAATCACAAATAAACCAAGCCTCGAATTGCAGGGCTGAAAAATGGGAGGCATCGGCTTCAAGTTCGGATCGGTGAAATCGCTCACACTGAAAACTTGAGGTACTTGGTGGCTTCCTTTTGGCTTCCCAAACAAAAACCACCGGAGCAAACCGAGCCAAACAAAAAGAGACACCACCCACCCATCTTGGCCACGAGGGCCGCATATAGCACTTCTTTGTGGTTTCCCTTTACAACCACAAAAAGGGTACCCTCACAAAAGCAACACCGATTTGTCTTAGGGTTGACTCCCCAGTCTTTCCAACCATCGTTCTTTTCAAAAACTGGCCGTTTGGAGGTTTTCTAGAAAGATTCGGATCCCTGCAAATGGGGAAGGTAGCACTGGACTATTGAGTTTCAGGAGGGGACAGTGAGTATATTGGGCTCAGATAGATGCGAAACCAGGCGAACCTTCCATTTGCTGAGATGAGTTGGGCTTCCTAAACTCCATTGTTCCTAAACTACCTTTCTAGAATCTCGGCTATTTGGGTATGGGTCAAAATTCAACCACCAAAAACCACAGGTTTTGGTCCATGTGTCCACTTGCTAGGGAGCCATGTTGGTACCGGTTCTTTGACTCACAGCCATTTCAACGCGGAGTCCGCTGACTCCACGCCCCCGCGCTCCGCACGACGCTCCTCCAGGGCGCCGCTGCCCGCTCCGCGCTGGGCCGCCTGCAGCGCCTGCGTGGCGAGGCGGGGCTCGTGGCCCGTCACGGCGCCCAGAAAGCCTCGCCAGGGGAAGAAACGGCCAAGAGGCTTTTTTTCGTTTGAGCGGAGGATCCTTCGGCCTGGGCCCAATGCCTACATCCCCAAATGCGAATCGATGCGCTTTTGGCAACAAATATCAATTTAAGTTGTACGGAAATCACAAGGAAGTGCCATATGAGGACCTGGGCATGGCCAAGATGGGCGGCTCGTCTCCCTTTTTTGGAGCCTCGGTGCCTTTTTTGTTGTTTTTGGGAAACTAAAAGGAAACCACGAATGTTGGGAGGTCCCAGACAAGACACAGGGACACAGAAAACCCTGCCAGAATGGCGCAACGGTATGTTCCTTTTTGGCTTCCCTTTTAAAACCAGCTAACTACCGAGCCTCAAAACAAGACACGCCCATATACAATTTGGCCCGTTTGTATGTTGCCAAGACACAAAGGGAGCTGAAAGAACGTGGATGATCCAACAGCCAGCATGGATGCAGCGCTTCAGCTCGCTTCAAACAAGGCATTCTCAGGCAAGCCAGTGCCTGGGTCATTTTCTAGGCAGCTGAGCTTGCTTCTCAACATGTAGGCAAGCATGGCTAACTTGTCACTCCCAAATGGTGTGTATTTGTATTTGGGCTTGCGCTTGTGCTTCAGTTTCTCGCTGTCTACTTCTCTGTCTGTTTTTGAGGGTGCCCGTTTTAAGGTTGGTCCAAAGGGAAATCAAACAAAAAGCCACCATTTTGGGGATCCTCCTTTGACATATACGTGTACATATATGTATATAAATATATATATATATATTTTCTTTCACCCCAAATGGGCCTCATCTGGATTGATCGGGAATTGACCAACCTGCAGGCCAGAAGCCAAAAGTCGCCAGCAGCAGCTCGTCAAAGTCTCGGCCCTCCTCCGACAGTTTGAGCTCCTGTCCAAGATAACCCCAAACAGCCCTAGACCAAACCCCACAGAAGTTGTTTTTCTAGGTCCTCCAGTAGAGAGGTTGAAAAAAGGGTACCAACTTTTGTCCGTAGTCTATTTTAGTAGGGGAACCCTCCCCCAAAAAAGTTAGGAAAAGGGCACTACTGGGGGGGGACCTAGTTTTTGGCACACAAAGCATGGCATAACTCCCAGCACCTTCCTGTGGCCTTGCCACTGGCTGACCTTGCCTCTGACCCCGAAGGAAGAGGTACGCGACTCCTGATTTAAGGAATGTACAAAGGGAGGGTTTACGGGTTGGATGAAGCCTTTGAGGCTGAGGATTTTTCACAAACCAACTGGAACCCACTGCCAAACCAACAACCTTGGTACCCCAAACTTTTTTTACGCAAGCCTCCGGCAAAAAACAACCATACTTCCAGTAGTGACAGATCCCCTTGGAAGCAGTCGGAATTGACCGTGTCAGCATAGGGAGCCACAACCGTGGGTTTGCCTGCTGTTGCCCTGTAAAACCACCCCCACAAAAGGGGTATTCGCAAAGACAACCTCACCACAAACAACACCCAATGGCCATAGTTGATTTTGAAGGGTTTGCAGGCCCAAAAAACAAGCGGACAACCAGAAATGCCCCGGTGAGTTGAGTTTACGGGGAAACTCCAGAAAAATTGATTTAAAAAAAGGAAGAAACCATCAGTTTCCCACAGGACTTGTTAAAATGCAAGACCGCCTATTGGGGCCACAGGGTGTCTCTTTCTTGTTGGTGCCCCTTTTTGGCCTTTGAATTGGAACCGCAGAAACCCCAACCGTTGCGCCATTTTGGGAGGCTCACCAAAGGAAGACCCAAAGAAACCTCAAAATTGTCGAAAAACCCAAAGGAAAACCGAGAACCGCTAAACAAGCGGTCGCCAAAATTGTTGAGAACCCAAAGGAAAACCGACAAATGACTAAAAACACTTGCCAAAATGGGACAACACAAAGGAAAACGCCAGCAAACTCACTACAAACGCTGGCCAAAACTGGGAAACCCAAAGGAAAACCCAAAGGAAAACCGGAAAACACTGACTAACCACGGAGGTCCACTCCTTCGAGTCGCTTTTTTTTTTGTCTCGCCTGCTTGGCGCGGGGCGCCAAGGAGGCCACCGCGGATTTCTCCCCGCTGCTGTGCAGGGCCAAGGCCAGGCGCAGCGAGGGGCTGGCCTCAACAAGACACCAAGACGCCACCAACAGAGTTCCACATAGTTCCAACAACCCCAGGAAACCCCAAGACACCACCAAAAACATGGAGCTCCAACACTAGGAGAGTTCCAACCATGTGAAGAAAATGGATAGGAGGCGCGTTGAGGGTGGGTTGAGGGTGTGGGTTTTTTGGCGCGCCCTCAAGCCTTGAATTGAAAGCTGTGAAGAAAATGGATCGTGTGACCCGTCACCTCAATTAACCAAGAGAGTGCCATACAGTAGTTCCAACACCAGGAGAGTTCCGACCACCCTTGATTGGTGTTTCTGTTTGGTTGTCAAGGTGTCATTTCTTTGGGAAACCGAAAAGAACCCAACCATTTTGGAGAACCCATGGTTTCTTAGGTGGTGCCGCATTTAGTTCATCCACAGTAGGGAATCTGGTGTTTATACCTTCAAGGTGGGTGTAAAGGAAAACCAAGGAGCCAACACACCCAGTGGGACATATCTCAATTTGGACGATGTCTAAGGTGGCTTCCACCACCGCATTTGGGGAATATTTGCCGAGCAGGGTGTTGGGCGGATTTCCTGTAGAACATAGGATGTTTTTCCACGACGCGGTTTACTGGGAATATATACAACCACAAACTATATCATAAAGGGTATCTTACCATTGATGTCCCCTGACAGAGAATTCGGGGTGGAAACCGTCTCAGAACGTGTGCGGGTCTAAACAATTGGGTTTGCGCGAAGCTGTCGGTTGCTAAACGATCAAAGTGTTGGGTTGAGACGAAATGGGTGTTAAATAAGTGACCTGGAGAACTAAGCACAAGTACCCATCCCCTTTCAGGTTCCTTCTAGGAAACTCAAGCTATGTACAGACACCCCTCCTTGGATCCATGATTCCCCTGAACGAAACAAAGTCTGAGGCTTCTGGGAGACTGACATGAAGGCTGGGAGACTTATAAACAGGAATCCACGGATCTTTGTCGCCAAAGTTGAGCAATAGCCAAACCCCTTGAGAAGCTATTGGAGTCCGCCCGCAAACTGGGAACTCTAAGAACCCTCCACACCCACCACCTGCTTGTTTTCCTTGCAAGACTACTGGCCGAAGATTATTTGGCTCCTTGAGGGGTTGGATATGGATCATGGCTGAGATAGAAGTTGCTTGTAAGCGCTGAACAAATAGTCCGCTTAGGTTGTTTTAGTGCACTGCTGAAACTCACCCTTCCTGCAATACGGTTTAATATAGTTTAGTGGTCGATTCCCATTTCCGTGAAATCACTTCCCTTGGAGGTTCCAAGGTGTTCCAATCGCGAGCCACTAGGATTGGGCCAAATTGGTTGAGGCCAACAGCACCCACCGGGAAACCCAAAGAAGGTTGTTTCAACCACATTGGTTTAAACCATCTGCCCTAATTGCCATTCACAGACCGGAATCTGCAGCATCCCAAGTGCCACGAACCCCGGATGGGGGCTATGGGAAGGGGGGGCTACCCCATCTTAACCCCTTCATAAGGCCTTACTAAGGGCTTATTCCTTGGCTTATCCTGGGAGAGCCCCGAAGCCATCCCCATACTGTGGATGGACCAAATCCTGCACCACTTGGAAACCAAAGCGTTTGTTGGTATTGACCTGGGTGTGGCTCAAAATTAAACAGGAGGGGCAAACCGCAGGTTTTGGTCCATTTCTCCACTTACCAGGGTTCCATTTTGGAATTCCGGTTTTTTGAGCCACAGCCACCTTGGGGAATCGAATCCAAAACCAGGGTCTCGTTTCGGTGAAAAGCAAAACGGAGTTCGCGCCTAGGGGGGGCTACCCCATATTAACCCCTTCATAAGGCCTTACTGAGGGCTTGTTCTTGGCTCATGGGCTCGAGCCCCAAAGCCATCCCCATGGCCGCTAAGTGAAATCGACCCCCCAAGTGGAACCGGCGCCTCGGCGAGCAGCTTCAGCGCCTCTGGCGTCTGAGTGCCGTCGCGGCTCAGCAAGAGCCCCGCCGCGACCTGCGAATCGAGCGTCGAGCAGTGGGGTGCAACAGGCGGGGCGTCCAAATTCCCTACAAACCAGAAGTGAATTGGGTGAGCTGGGATGCTAACTGGCTTATAAGCCAGACATAAAAGGGGTAAACTGGGAGGGTGACTAACTGGGTTAGGGGGAAGACTTAAGTTCTTATAAATCAGAGGTGAATTGGGTGAGCTGGGATGCTAACTGGCTTATAAGCCAGACATAAAAGGGGTGAACTGGGAGGGTGACTAACTGGGTTAGGGGGAAGACTTAAGTTCTTACAAATCAGAGGTGAATTGGGTGAACTGGGATGCTAACTAAGTGGCTTACAACTGTGGATGTGTAAAATAGCATATGTGAAGCACAGAAGTCCTTCATCACCCACTACCATGATATAATGTTAAATGACAGTCATAATACTATGAGCTATTCATAATAGTATAATAATCATAACAATAACCATAATGATAACAATAATAATACTAATAATGTACGCATATATATATATATATATATATATATGCGTTAGGTCTACCAAAGGAGCAATCCGTGTATGATATCAACTAACCCCTGGTACCCGACTTCTGACCTCCGAGTCCCGGGCCCAAAAGCTTGGCATCCCAGTGACTTATCCATCAGGGCAGAGGTGCCGGATGCTGCCTTTTTCGAGGCAGAACGCCCCGAGAAATGAGCGGTGTCCTGTTGGCTTCCTTTAAAATGACACGCTATGAAGATCAATTCAAAGTGAGTTCTGCAAGGAAGCCTAGAGGGGGAAGCCTCAAGAAGGAATGGCTCGAACTCCATATGAGGAGTAAACCCATTTGGAGTTTCCAGTCAACAGCACTTCGCTCTCCCTCCAAGCATGGTTTACTGTGTCAATCTCCGGAAACAAAATGCCCCTCCCCCGAAACATCCACCCCCACCATGGAACTATATCTTTCTCTTAGCTTGCCTTCTCGGTTTGCGGCTGGAACCAAAAGGCCGAAATGTTCATTCACCCGGCCGGTGATTTAAACATCCCCAAATCTCCGGTGAAGAAAATGGCACTAGCTTTTGGCAGTTGGTACATAGATAGGAACACCAGAACAATGCAGACACTGTTTTCACAATTTTGGTGATGAGTTGAGTTGAATCGGGAAACCAACGCATCAAATCCCCCAAAAAACGAACAGAGGGCGCACATGGAAGTCTGACCAAACAAATCGCACCCGTGCTTGTTTTTCTCCTGCGAGAAAAAAACAAGAGGTTCATCCACGGGCCTCGAGGGCCGAACCTGAACACTGGCGAAGTTGTTGTTCCAATGCGCTCAGGTTGGTCTTGGGCAGCCACTGGAAGTAGCCTTGGGTCTGGGAATTTGTTTGCCCCTGCAAAGAATCCAAGGCAGCCTTCCGAGCGAGTGGACAGGTGGAAAAACGTGTGCTTTTTGTTTGCCACTAAAATGGTCTTCCCAAAAAGTATAAATTGAGAAGGGGAAGCAAGCTGTAATAAACACCTGCTAGTAAAATGGACCCAGAACCATGTAAAGAACTCAACCGGCGGCAACCATCTTAGGGGATTGTCCCTTACCCTCCAATCGCCCGGTGTGGCTGGGGTGTCTTTTGATGTCTTGGGTTACAACCCTCATTTTGGCACAACACATCCTGACGTTTGGCGCGAAGTTAGGGGAGCAGCTTCTGCGACTTGGGAACCTTAGTTACTGTCAAAAAAGTCAGTGGGTTCAAGGTCAAAACAAACAGTGAACAAGCAACAACAAACGACCCTAGCTTTTTCCCCTCAACCCATCCCAATATCGGGTGTCATCCATTCCGACTAATGCCGAAACCCTATGGAAACGCTCTGACACCTCATGAAACTCATAAACACACTCTACGAGAACTGGGACGAAACCCATCTACCGGGGCCAAACGGCATGGATTCTGAGCATAGGTGGCCTTTCGGCAAAATAGATGGCCCTGGCAAATGGAACAAAAGCCATCTAAACCAGTGGAACCCATCTACATTTAACCAAACTAACCTAAAAAATGAAACAAAAGCCATCAAAACCCGTGGAACCCATCTACATTTAACCAAACTCACCTTGGTTCTGAGGGTATCCAGCCCATGTCTGCCACTAAAGAGGCGGAAGCGGAACCAGCCCACCAGCTCCGCGCTCTCGCACCCATCCAGCTGGATAGTTTCCACCTGCAACACCAGCGCTGAGTGACTTCTGAGACATCGCCCAATGACGGAAGGGCATTCCGGAAGGGGTCGGGGAACCTCTTCTGGCTTTTGAGTTGCATAAATCGATCAACTATTTGTTCTTTACGATTTCTGTATTTTTCATATTGAGGAATGTGCATTTCAGTGTCTTTCCAGGTGTTCTGAGAAGCAAAGCAACAAACAACATGCGGTTCCGAAGAAACAAACAACACACGAGACATCCCGAGCGGGAAACTCATCTGCTCGCCCGGATGCTTGCTTTCCTGCAGTTGTGATCCGGGTCCCCATGGCCGGATCAGAATCAATCAGCTTCTGCATCAACTGGGTCATTAAATCAAAACAGAGTCCTGTTATTTTTGTTTCAAGAAAAAACTCGATACGGTCATTCAACAAAAAAAGAGTCCTGTTTAAAAAAAAGAAAAGAAAAAGAGAAAGACAACGCAACCAACCTGGTGAACCCCAAACCATGTCGATCGGAAAAACATTTCTGGCAGGACTGTCCCGCTTCAGCTCCAAGGGCTTGCAAGTGGCTCTGCTTCGCTGGCAAAAAATGAGAACATATGTCCAAAATCGATTCCCTCAACCAAGGGAACATAAAAAAAAGAGTTCGCAAATGGAAGGAATCAGGGATCCTTACATGACACCTGAACATTGCAACTTGTAAATGGTGGTGTCCCTTTGTTTTGGTGTTGAAAAAGCCATGTTTCAAATGGTTGCAACATGTATCTTTTAAGGAGTGTTTCAACGGACATGCAGGGACCCCAAATGGTGAGCCAGTTGGAATGGACAATGACTGGGACAAACCAACCATCAACTGGTGCAGGATGTCGTTCATTCCCGACGACGACTTTATCGCCAACTCCGATGCGACAAGTGGCCCAAAAGCTCTAGGGTTTGATTCCTTCCAACCATTCTTTTCAACCATCGTTCTTTTCAAAACCGATCGCTGCTTTGCAAGGGTTTTGGGTGGTTTCGTAGAAAGAAGGATGCCTGGAAAGCATGGGGAAGGTACCCCTAGAGAAGCGCTATGTCCAGGCGCACTTTCAATCCGTCGACTTCACGACCTTGTGTGCGCTTGTGTGTCTTATATTTTTGTTCGGGCCGGTGTGTGTGTGTGTGTTGGAGGAAACCAACGGAAGCCGCCCATGGTGTATTTTCCCCCAGTTTGAGACAAACCAATGTAATTGTGAAATATGGTAGGACATCAGCCCCGTTCAACATGATGCCCACCAAAAAAAACAGAAATCCAACTACCAGTGTCTTGGCCAAAGGTACCGTCCACGTTTGGCGAATGTGAACAGGTAAGTCTTGAACATCTACAGTGGCCTTTTGGGGTTCAATGGAACCCGAAAAGGTCCTAAATAGCCAAACAAATCAGATCCACCAGAGACATTGTGTTTTTGGTTCAGTAGTCACAGAAACCAACAAACATCCACACGTCATCTCCAATATGGCCGCCGATTGGTTCTTCTGAAAACGGAGGACCCCCCACCAATGGCTATCAAATCATATCAAATGGTATCTCCTGTGGCATATGTTCGGGCGAAGATCTTTGGACTCCGTGGATTTGATTTCGCCGGAAGAAGTCTAGACCTTTTTACCACTGAAACGGTCCAAACAAACAAAAACAACTCAAAGCGCAGAACAAGACGTGATAAACCTTGCTCCTGTATCCTTTCAGAATCCTTACGGTCCACAATAGGATCCGTGACATGACCATTGCCAACCCCAACAGATGTACCATACTGTGGATGGACAAAATTCATTTCGCACCACCTAAGAAACCCAATGGAATGATTCGATTCCAGTGTAAATACCAAACAACTGTGATTTCAACCATGATCTCCCAGGTCCTCCAGTAGAGAGGTTAGAATAAGGGTACCCTTTTTTCTGTAGTGGGGGAACCCTCCCCCAAAAGGGTAAAAGGGCACTACTAGGGAACCTAGAGGTGGTGCATCCACAGCAGCGCCAAAGAACAACTCACTCGATCCTTTGGTCGTGCGCGCCTCGCGCCATGCCTCCTGCACGCTTTGCTCAGTGGCTGGTCCGCGAAGAACCTGCCGCAGAGCCAGGAGCAGTGGGGGATGGCTCAGGGCTCCTGGCTTGTAAAATGGGTGGCTGTCAGTCCCAAAATGGGTCTGAAAAAACACTGACACATTATTGAACCACTTCTCTTGTTTCAACATGATGGTAGAACACTCCCTGGGTGGCTTCCTTTTTGTCTGTCAGCACAAGCGGTCTGAGAAAACAGCCACCTGCGCATACAGTGTGCATCATTGAAGCCTTTTGCTTCTCACTCAAGCTACCCTGCTCATTAAGGTGTTCTGCCCTGGTACGATAGTACACAGCAGCTAGGGCTCTGAATTCAATTTCTGCCCGCAGCTTGAGAACACCAAAAATTGCAATACCACCTGGCCACATTTGATTAGCTCGAGCGCCAATTGTGTGGTTGTCAAATAAAAGGACCAAAGGACATTGGCATGGGGTTGTGGGTAATTAAGCCATAGCTAAGCTGACCCCGCATTCGTAAACCTGTCCAATAAAAAAGAGAGGTATTCCCCTCTGAAGTGGTCTGAATCCCCACATTTCACGGGGACGGGTTTGCTTGCACCAGTTCACAAAGGCAGACTCCCTCTCAGAAACGCAGGTGGATTTCCATGGGGGAAACGTTCTTTTGTGTATAGTAGGTGCAAAGGGAAACCCCAAACCCAACCCAAAAAATGAACGAGAACAAAAACAACCAGGCGAGCTGGCCCCGTTGGTTCTATTTGTTTCTTTGGTCCCCGCGAAGCAATTTTTTGCTTGGCTCCCAATGGTAGACTCCACTGATCCAGCCTCCGCCGCACGCAGAGCAGCGGCAGGTTGGTTTGGGCGCGCTGCCACCCAGCGAAGCCATTCCTTACAAGGTCAGCTTCCGAAGTGCTAGCCAAAGTATTCAAAGGCTGACTGTGTGTGTGTGTGTATGTGTTGGTTCTTTTCTTTGTTTCCCGTTTGTTCTTTCATGTTTTTTTTTTTTTTTTTTTTAACATGGCCATGTTGGATCCTTCGGAGGCTGATTTCCCATAATGCCATAACGACCGTACAACTAAGACATAAACTAGGCGCTCATACCAGGTGCACATATGGTTCTTCACGTTCCGCCTTTAAGGTATGTACAAGGCACTAAGGCAGGCAACAAAGGCTTCACTTGTATTGGATTGGTCTCTTGAGGTGTTCCGGGGGTGATCAAACCAAGCACCTCTTCCTGGTTGTGGTCTGGACTTGGTGTCCACTTTGGGTAATCGACACTCAAGAAGAAACTGCCCCCAAGCCACCAATCTAAGCCAGCGAAGGGTTACCCGGAACAGTTACCCCATAGAACAACCAAAGGCCGCCCAATTCCAACCCATGCCTAACTCACTGCGAGTACACAGAATCACAAAAACCGCAAACCCACAGCACTTCCGAATTCCATCTACGAATGTACCCGTCCTTTTCAAAAACCCATGCATAACGACCTAAGCCAAACACAGAGTCCCCTAAATGCTTCAATTTCCTTTGGTGTCGCTTTAAAACGAAGGGTTACCCCGTAAAAACACCAGACTCCCTAAACCAAACAGCCCCTCACTCGGTTCCCTTCACGTCCCACGCTCGCGCGAGAACTCCTCCCAGCGTCGTCCTCCCGCTGCGGGATCGCGCCAAAGAGGCTCTCCACAGAGAGCTCTCCACAGCTCTCGCCTGGGGAAATTCGGGAGGGGTGCTTCGTATGGGATACTGTGGATGGTGGCGAAATCCATTTCGCACCACTTGGAAACCCATCACGTTGGTTGCTACTTACGCTGGGAAATCGAATCCTTCCAGGTTCTCTGAGGTGGTGCGAAATGGATTTTGCAACCATCCACAGTATGGAACCCCTAGACAGTTGTGCTCTTCACCAACTAAAAAGGACTCCAAACAAGGGAGCCTTAGATAGAAGACCCAGCCATCTTGAGATGAGTGAAGCAAGAGCTTAAGTACTTAGAATGGGGGGTTTGCGTGTGCGTGTGTGTTTGTCATAAAATGAAAAGTCAGTACATAATCACCATCTGGACCCACGCAAAACGGGTCAACCCTCCGATTGCTGCAAGCCGACGGTTCTCATACGCTGAGTACTCTGTGGCTTTGGGGGCTCACCATGCTTCACCACTTGGGTATGCTGGCCAAACCAGAGGCTTTGCTTGGAGCTCGCAACAAATCAAAGCAACAAGCAGAACTACGAACAAAGAAGTCTGTGTAGGTTGCAAACAAGAACATCGACATGATCTAAAAAAAACAAACATATATATATATATTATATATAAAACATGTACGAACACCCCAAAAGCTCAAATCATTCAAGCTCGAGCCATGGAAAGCCTGACTCATCGGCCAGAGAAGGCTGCAAGCTTTGGAGCCCAACTCCTCCATGTGCTTCTTCTTCCCACGGGAAAAACTGAGAACATATGTATGTCCAGTGGTGAAATTGATTCCCTTCAAAACCAACCAGGGAAGATACAACAAATATTCTTGAGCAAATGGAAGAAACCGGGTACCCTCAAAGAGAATGCAGACACACACACACACACATGACACAAAAAACATGACCGCCGAAAAGAAGACGGGCGAGCCGAGCCGCTGTCACCCCTCGCCAGCCACAAGCCCGGCACGGCCAGAACCGCAAGGCGCATGGGGAAGTTGCAGCGGGCTGAAAAACCCCGTGGCTCTTATGATTCACCAACAGAGGCCACGCGAGTGGTCGTTAACCACGGTTGTACCCCATTCATGTGTCCCCTATATGTGGACTAAACCCTGTTCATGAATGGGCTACAACCCAGATAGCTAACCGCCTGACCCAACCTGGCGGAACACCCCAAGTGAGTCCTAGTCAAATCCGATCGGGAACATGATCCAAGCCCAGGACCATTCAAGAACTAAAACGCCCCCGCCGCACATGCGTTTGGGACTATTCCCTAACCTTGATCTACCCGGGTTTTGATTCTGGCTCATAGTAAAAACTGAAGCACAAAAGAAATCACCAAAGTTTCTTTGAACTGGCGTCGAAGGGAAGTAAGAAAGTTCATGATGGTGTGTCGATAGGTGGTTGGGTGTTTGGGTGGTTGGGTGGCTGGGTGGTTGGGTGTGGTTGCGTGGTTGGTTGGGTGATTGGGTGGTTGGGTGATGGGGGCTGACCCATGTGCCCAAGTAGCGCCAGTGGCAGGTGAATTGAGCTGAAGCCATTGCGACAGCGTTCAGAGTTGCAAGAACTCAAAGGCTGAATTTACAGGCCCTATATCTAAGCCATTGCCATTTTAAACCCTTTACGGGCTGATTTTCCAGAATCAAGCCATAAACGGATAGTTAACCCAATTAGGGGTTCATACCAGGGGTTCATACATGGACGTATACATGCAGCCTTTAAACATCATGGAGATCGAGCCCTTTATCTTTTTAGTGTTGCTCTCTTGGGGGCATTAAGGTCAACTGCTACATGGGTGTGTCTTATCTCTGGATACCCCGTTGTTGTTGGTTTTAAGAGGAAAGCACAAAAAAGAAAACATATTCTGGGGGGTCCCCTAAAATACACACACACACACACACACACACACACACACACACACACACACACACACACACACACACACACACACAACACACACACACACACATGTGTTACCAAGGTAAACACACCACTGGCATGGCTTCCAACAAGCATCCAAATAGTATTTGGGCCCACACAGTTTTTATCGACCCTGCATATTTCTGTCCGACTCCATACCATTCTGATGACCCCTTTGCAATCCTCAAAAAATACCTGTTTGACACTAACTGGATTCTCTGAATGGAGGAATCTATGCTGTCGTCCATCCAAAGTGGGACTTAACACCCTATGAAAACCCTATGAGACCCTTTCAAACCATCTGAAAAGTGGGCCCAGCCACGTACCAACTGGTGCCTGGGAAACAAACCTCCACAGGTGACATGTCAAGGCGGCTTCACTTGCCGTGGGTACACTGCAGATTTTCCGATGGAAGAAACCCAAACACAACAACAAAACCCACTAGGGTCGGAATCTTGGGCATCCCCCTGTCTGGGAATTCCATAAACCGCCAGGTTAACCTTCTGGAACCTATGTTATAAATCGAAACAGGTCTCTCTTTCGAGGACACTCGTTTGGAATTGTCTTGCAGGAGACCAAATGAAACCACCGATCTGTGTTTGCATTTGAAGACGCGAACAGCTTGGAACGGTCCATTCGCTTTGCGCACGTGAGCGCAGCGCATGCCACTATATTCGGAGTCAGCGCCATGGCAAGGGTAGGCGTTAAAGCCACATGGGTGACGGTTGGTGACCCATAGTTGTTCGTGTTTGGGGGGGCATTGTCAGTCAGGTCCGGTTCGCTTTCTCCCAGTTTTGAGAGGCTTCATTCTCCCAACTGGGACAAAACCCCATGGAAACGCGGGTTCCTCATGCAACCCTCCATTTGCTTAAGTCCTGTGGAAAAAAACTATTTCCAGTAGTGATAGATTCCCTTTAAAAGCAACAGGGGAAAATAAAAAAGAGTCTTAACCAAATGGAAGTCATGCAACTCATAAAACCCTGTACGAAACCCGGGACAAACGCCACGGCCCGTCCAGTCGCGGCAAAACGGGGCAGGCTCCACTGAAAAGCGTCCAGGTAGTTGCCCTGCGCCCAGCCACGTGTGAACTGTGAGCGACTGAGTTGGTTTGTTGCTACGTTGACATTGTCGTGGTGTTCCAGAGGAAAAAATCGCGGTTTTGGCAGACTTCCCGAGGGGAGTCATAAAAATTAAAAAGACCCAAATAGTTTGTTAACGACTACTAGGTCCTCCAGATTTGAGTGGTTAGCAGAAGTTGGTACCCGATTTTTTTCTGTGGTCTATTTTGGTAGGGGAACCGCAACCAAAAAAGTTGGTGAAAGGGCACTATGGGGACCTGGTCTATGTTGATTGGTGTGGTGTTCCTGTTGGTGTCCCTTTCGGTGGTTGGCTTTGCTGTGTGTTGACTTTGTTTTCGTGTGTTGACATAGCTTCTTTCATGTTGGTGTTTGTTTTGGTGTTCCTTGAAAAACACATGGGCGTAGACGTTTTTACGGGTATCATTTTAAAAGTCGGTTGAAAGCCACTTGTTTTGGGGGCAAACCAGTTTTGACACATACCCACATTGGTGATAAAGGCTTACAACAGCGTTCCAGACCCCTTCCCCCCCTCGAAACCACCGGAGAACCC